TAGTAAAAAGCCCATGAGGTCATCTAAATAATATTCTTACCTTTAAATTTTATAAGAGGTCAATTCACTCTAATTTTTGAACTAACGGAGCTAAACGTAATTTGCTGAGTGTAAAATTAGCCATGTTACACAATACCCACTTGTAAGACAGAGACAACACATGAGGGTATCATATCCTCTAAAATACATATTTATTAAGGGAAAATTCCCAAAGTTAATGATATGAAAAGAATGTGTGAGATTTAATTRGATTTTAAGATCCAATTATTGACATAATTATTAAAAATTTTGCTGATTTAAAAAAAAAATCTTGAAATGGTTAGTGTTATTGAACATTTTATGAATTATATAATAATAGTCAAACCTTTGTTACAAATATAAAATGTAAGATAGGTACGCCATATTATATAAATAATCAATAAATATATTAAATACCTACACAAAATGTGTTTTGGTGATTTTCATTTTAAATTTTGACTCACATTTTGAAATACATTTATACTTGTTTTAAAATTGTATATTGKGATGTTATAAACATACAATTATAATATTGTCTACSTAATAGAAAACATTTTGCAAATACACATTGTTTCCGCATCTTTAATATCTATTTGAGATCTAGTCAAATAAAATAAATTTGAGATGGTCRAWAATTTGAAGCAAAATACCTACTACTTATTACAGATTTATCAATTTTACAACTATTAAGGAAGACTTAAGAATCAACGTATAAACTAAAACTAAAATTAATCAATTTAATGTCAAATGATAATTAGGTACATCTTTATTACGCAATAGACTATTGTGATTAATAGTTACTGATTAATAACTACCAGACATTTCTAGAGCTATGAAAAAACCTATGTAAATAATTGTTGTTATATTTTCGTGTCATTAAAGCTAATGAAGTAGGTACTTAGAATTATTTTAAGATATAAAACAAAACATGTAGGTATTACCTGATAAGATCGTCATAAGTGCAAGAGCAGATATAGCACCAGTGAATACTGTAATTCTCGAATGTCGCATGGCCATAATAGCAGCAATGAAAAATGTCTTGTCACCCAACTCAGAGACAACTATCACAGAAAGTGATGCAACAAAGGCATGCACCAGTCCTAGAGAAACGGTAGGTGTATGTTTTGTTGTTTGCTCAGAAGGCAGTGAATCGCCAATGTCCGCAGGTAGTAGATCATCATTTTCGTCCACTGGGAGTGARCTGACTATAGCCGTGCCTATCAGGACCACACACAGCACACCAAATCTTGCAAACATTGTTCTTGGAGTGAAACTTTACAAGCGCAGTCAAAAAATTACGGTAATGAATATACCCAAAAACGGATTGGGCACATGCATTAAGTGTCAACGATTAATAGGACACCAATTTCACATGATTAAAATAAAATAAAAATTAACTATTAGAGTTTTGGTAAGTAATGAAAAAACTAACTCAAAACTGTTTGAACAAAAAAGAAATATGTATATATAGTTATAACAATAAAATCAACGTAACTATCAAACAACAGTACGTAATGGTAATAATAATTTATTTTTAATTTATGATAACTGATTAGTTGAGTTATACTTCGGAAGAAAATAATTTACCGTAAAAAAACACAATTGAAATTACGGGCTCTACACGAAACACGTCCAACGGTTGTCCCGCCATGTCCGCAATTAACGAACGTTCGGCAATCGGCAGCCGGCAGGCCCGACGACGATAGGCGGTAAGTGGTTGCGTGAAGTGTTTACCGCACGAAACGCAAGATCGGCGCGTGTTACTGCGTWCGTCCGTGGTTGTCGCCGACAACGTTGATGATTGGCGTTGGAGCGCGTGTACGTAGTAGGTTCGGTCGTTCGGCATTCACGTGTACACACAGGGAATACTGAACGTTAAACAGCGCACTAGCACTATAATTTAGTAGCACTACAACTTGAACTCACTCGCTGTCTACTATATAGCAGTTAACAGTACGTCAGTACGTCGTCCGTACAACCGAAAAGTGATTACTGATTAGTGATTAGCGAATACTGATCTCTAATGCAGTGATAAGTGATATAYGCACAACATTTCGGTCGCGTTGCGGCGTGCACACTCGTGCAGTCGCGCGGTGCCGGTGCGTACAGTCGGCATTCCGAGCAGTGTCGATAAAAATTATTATTAAGAGGTGGACTTGGGTGGAGGTTGGTCGTCGGGTGGCCGCGGTTTGTACAGCACGGCGGCATAGCGATATCATCAGATTCTATCATCTGTAAAAATCGCACGATTAATATTATTGTAAATAATAAATATTGAATAATATTGAACTGTAATAAACTAATAATATATCTACACGTTGCATTATGTTCATGTACGTAWAATATAAAATTTTTAATCGTGAAATGTTTTGTGTAGTATTTACATAATATATTTTGCATTTTGTCACGTGGAYTTAACATTTTAACGTATAATTTATAATAATGTCATTTGATGTTTGCATAACTGTTTTATTATAGCCATATTGACATTATAGGTACATAGCAATAGCAATAAYTACAAAATTGCAAAATTTAGAGTTCAAATCTGGGGAGGGGGTTACCACAATTATTATTGAATTATGAATCACTCATACCACCGTGTAGCTCCCCACAGCATAACGTAATATTACCATTATTTGGATTATATTATTATTCAGTATTCACAATATGATACCATCATAAGAAAAGCAAATTTAATTTTGTTTTCTATATTAAAATTTCAAATCTATTGTAACAATAATTATTGTGTTGAATGTTTCGTCTAGAATAATGTCATAAACTCATAACAGTATAACACTCATAACTCATCATTAGCTAGATTTGGCAGTGGCTTGAAAATGTATTAAATTATAATCCGAATTTGAGGTTCTTTTGCTATATGTGGTCACCTGTGCCACCGCATCTCAAGGCTTACTCACCGCCGCAAAAATTAAACGCGAGCACAGCGTACGTCTTTCGTTTTCGGCTGATCTTCGTGGGCTGTTTACCGTGCAGTATTCGAGCGACTCGTYTGCAGTTACCTTTTTAYGTCTAYGATCTCATGCTCATCATACCGTTGTCCGTTACCGTAATTCAGTGTTGTGTGCAGTTGTGGCGTTGCGTTTCGAGAATAAAGACTTAAACGAGTTAGTTGACAAAAATGAGAACACAAAGTCGACGCATGAACAGGCGAAGGCGAGCGACACCAAAGAGATGTGTTTGTGCGAGAGCGCGCGCGGTAACAAAAGAGAAAGATCCGTGTGCGCCACCAACGGTCAAGAACGTCCGCGYGGTGCGACGTCCCGGCGGGCCGTGGAAGCGGCGAACGCGAGATCAGTCGTTGGTTGTGAAGTACATAAATAAAATTCGAGACTTGATGTTCGCATGAAAATTTGGTTGGAACAATTACTACCTAACCTAACCTAACCTTTTTTTATATTATAATAGTATAATGGCTAAATCTTACATTATTTTGGACGTAGACGGATTGTACTACGTACGTGAGGTCKKCTAGTGGATCCTCYCGTGCGATGAATGCTGGTATGGATCGATATCGATGGAAATCCACACCGTGGATAAGTTGCGTTGCGTATAACCCAGAATGTCTTCTTTAGGCGGTGGCCTGACCGCGTCGATCCGCGAACGTAGTACGCAGYGGCRCCGAAGTCTAGTTTTAATGAAAACAATAAATATTAAATACAAAGATGGCTATGAAAATTTGTCCATAAAAATATTTATATTAAAATTATTTAATTAAAAATTAGGAAATATGAATAAATCATAATAAAATAAAATTTGTATAGTTTTTAGAGGTATTACAAAGCATACCTGCAAACCAAGGCCCACCCACCTACATTAGGTTGAGCGMCTGACCCTCAATTTTTTTCCACCCATCTATCTATAATTTTAATAACTAAGAGTTATAAGTACATTTAAAGATTGCCAGCAGGACCGTGTTAAGGGGGATAGTAGAGTATATAAACCGGTAGCATAGTGGGCCGAAACCCCCCCCCGCAAATTACTCAATTGTTAGCGTTTAGGTTTATGGTTTATCCTAATTCATAATGTTAGCTATGATGATAAATAAAATAATTTATAATTTCATACATTTTATTTAGTCGGTGTGTTTCGTAGGCTTATTACACCCACCCACCTTTAATGGGTATTGCAACTGCAATACCTGGACATAAGGATCGGCGCCGCTGCTAATGTGAATTATTTGTATACTGGCAGCACCAGTTTAAAGTTAGATGTAGCAAGCCTGCGCATTATAGAAACACATTCTGTATTTCTGTAATACTACTAATACTATGGCTGCTAATATTATTATTTATTCTGAARATCTCCTATACTTTATCCACGAGAGAACTCAGAACGCAACAGACAAATTGTTCGTTTCGTACAGACAAAAAATGGTTCAGTTTCGGGCATAGTTATCTGAACAGAGTTTATATAGAGGACACAGAAACATGAATTTAAATAAATATATTAATCTATCGAAGAAATTAAATGCTAATTTTAATAATCAATCCAAAAATGTATTTCTTAGTGGACAATGATAATGTTTTTTAACTCATTATAAGTAGGGTTGCCATAATTTCATCAAACAAAACCGGGACAGACAAAAATATAGTTAATACATTTAGAAATAAATATCATTAAATTATATAAGCCATTGGGTATGTATTAAAAAAATGACACAATAGGTTATAGTGTTATAACTTATACACTTTACTGTAACAAATTAACAATGTAAACTTTTAATACAAATTCAAATA